TAACGTGTCGGACCTGAGCGGTCAGTAGGTCTGTGCTCCGATTACCGAGTTTTACTGGGGATATGATTGAATGCAATATATACAGATAATAATATGACACCTGCCTGGTGTCTTTAAATTAATTGACCTAAGTGCTGTGTATAATTATATATCTTCAGTTAATACCGGCACCTGCCTGGTGCCATATGACAATTGCCTCACTTTACAACTGACTATATAAGTCAACAGCCATCTGCCTGGTGCCTCTTGATTTAGCCTTTAACACCTGCCTGGTGTCTTACTGCTTACCAAGTTGCCTATATAACTCTAGCCAAGTGGCTACAATATACTAACACAGTATGATTTAACTTTGTAAGAGCTTCTCTGTCCTAATGACAAACCTATAGCTAACGTCACACACCTAGATTTTAACTAGTCACTGACTACGGCAACTTTGGACAATCCGATTTGATCGATAAACCAATTGGTTTCTGTACCAAAGTGAAGACACAACAGGCGCTGTACTGCCCCCTTGTACCTCAAGTTAATCAATGATCATAAGTTATCAGATATCATATTGATAAAATACAACAGACTGCCTTTCTTTTGGCAACATTATTATTATTTTCAAACAGAACATCATTTATCAATAATACTTGTATGATTCTTTGTCAATTGACCAATTAATTACAATATTTACATTGATTATCTATTATAATATAAACAAATAACGGGAGGTAACTCCTCCAACCATTTCACTACTACGTGAGAGTCGAAGTAGTTTTTTTACATTTCATGTATCCTTATGTCAGAATCGTTTAATCAAACGCTCAGCTGCCTTCATAAACCCCTACTCGCGAAATGGCAGAGTTGACAGAGACAGCCGCCGTCTTGGGCCCGCTTCAGATTTTCAAATATTAATATCTAGAGTTCAGATTACCCAATATACAAACAACTTATATAGTAAACATCAATAGAAGGGTTTCTATTATCATTCCAAAAATAAATGAAAAATATTGAAAAACAAAAAAGTTAGAAAATACACTTTTTTCAATTCGCATCTCCTAACGACAGGAAGTATTGACGACGAACGAAAGGTCGCTTCCTGGTTAGTATCTATCACGATCTATAATCCCTGAAACTTTCACATTGATATCTTTTACCGTTCTTTAGATTAACCACAGACAAAATGTCATTTTAAAATCAGGAAATGTCCCCTAACTTGGCACCAGAAAAATTTTTTCAAAAAATCGCTCAGATAGATCAAGTTCATGTTACGACACATCTCTTCTGAAAATTTCATGTAATTCCATCCAGTAGTCTTTGAGAAATCGCTGCACAAAATTTGGAAAAAAAAATAATAAAAAGAATACTAATAATAATAAGAAGAAGAAGAAACAGTAGAATCACTATAAGGTCTTCCGTGAAGACGGAAGACCTTAATAATAATAAGAAACAGTAGAATCACTATAAGATCTTCCGTGAAGACGAAACCTTAATAATCCTTATATCTCAGTGGACAAGTCTCTGACTTACACCTTAACAATGTTAAAACAGAGAAACTACTTTTGGGTACATTATAGATGAAACACTGAATTTTCTTGACAATGTAGAATTCCAATATATAACACATAATTCCTTTACTTTGCGCAACATCAAGAAATGTCAACCTTTAAAATCTAAAAATAGTTTTCCGATGCCTTTATCCTTCTTTCTATCAATTATTGTCAGATTATTTGGGACAATGCACCAAGAAGTTACATGGACAGAATTAATCTAAGAAAGTTTTCGAATGCCTTTATCCTGCTTTCTATAAAAAAATTGTCAGATTATTTTGGACAATGCAACAAGAAGTTACATGGACAGAATTACTTACAAGGGTTGTCCAAAAAGGTCGTAGACAGGGAAAACAACTATGTTTCTCTTTGCCTAATTAAATTTCTTTCCTTGTCATAGCAAAAAGTAGCAATTTATATGTATGACCACGCATTTCAAGTTTCACGATGATCTCACATCTTATAAGAAAGCTATGTCTAAATAAAAAAAATGTTAGTGTACATCGACACTCGAAAGCAAGCGTAAATTACGTCTCCCATAACGCCATGATCTCTTCGTCTGCTTCACTCGCGTCTTATTATTAATGTATTAACATTCATTATTTTTAAGAGATAGACTACTCTTGAATAAGGGGCTTATTCAAATAAGCTACTGTCCGTTTGTTCTTTATTTGCTTTTTAAGGAGGTTCACATTTCAGTTGAAATTTAGTCAAAAGATTGCCTGACATTGAAGACAGCAGAGAATAAATGACGTCTTTCTCAGTCCAGATTGTTCCCAATTATCTGCGTTTAAGAAACCGTACTTTACTTCTTTCATGCCGTAACTATTTTGGTAAGGAGAAAAAACCCTCATTGAATATCATGCAATTTTTATTTTCTTTATTTAAATCAGGTGTGTAATGTCACTTCTCAGCTATGTTAAAGAAGGTCAGAGTTCACATTCCTTGTACATGTATATCGTATTGGAATTTTAATTGTGACGTCATTGAAATTACTTAACGACATGATCATGCGTAAAAAACAACTTGTATTTATTTATTTTATCGATTATTTATGAAATCTTGTAAAATCACAAATACTTGATAGCAGTACAGTCGAGTTATAAAAAAAAGCCTTTCGTCAAATATATCGTCATCAGCCATGACATGACGCAGCACAGGTGATCCAGAGGACAAGTTTTACTGGTTTAATAATTACAAAAATGCTTAAATAAATATGATACCATTGCCAATTTTTATAACTAATCATTAAAACTAAAAGAAAAGAAATCATTAAATACAATGTGTAAAGAGTATGAATTAATCTAGTAGCATTGAAGCTGCACAGGGATAGAGAATGTAGAGAGCATCGCTAAAACCGTGAGCGTATTCGTGATTTACATCAAAAATTCAAGGGCATAGACTATTTCGTTCGAGCTTAAATTTAGAATACTTATTGCTTATATAGTGTATATTTAGAAAAGTGCTGGGAACTGATCCTGGTCTGCATAACATTATTTCTATTTGTAATAGAATTTAAGCGAAGTGGAAATTTTTAGCTATTATAAGCATGTTGGCAAAATGTGTTGTACTTCGCAAACAGCACTGACTGGCTCCCAGCAATTTTTGGTTAAAGGAAATAAATTTTTTTTTAATATGTATCAATTTTTTTTTCTTAAAAAACAAGCGTATGCCCTTGCACTATCCCCTTTTCCTAGATTCGTCTTAACAATTCTATTTTTATACAAATCACGAGACTAACAGCTGATACTTACGATATACCTGGTAATAAATAAGGCCCAGTCCTACCCATCATTGATAGATATATTACATTTTCTACAGGAATTCTGTTGCTTTGTTACAAATTTTTAAAAGTAGTAATACAAATTTAAATGATGCAAAGGTTAATATTCCATATCGTTCCTTAACATAGCTGAGTTCTGTATTCTTTTTAATTATATCTGATGTATATAAAGCATATCCAACACTATTTATTGTATTTCCGTGCGCTGGTTACGCGATTGACGACTTCATTTTCATCAAATCTCAAATCCAATCGACACTATGAAAACCACTATACCAGTCGTATGCTACATGTATTTAAATGAAATTTTGACATATGATTAGGATTTTGATTCTAGTTTCAGTGATTTAAATATAAGTAAGTAAGTGAATTATATTTATAGTCGGCACATATATACAATTGAACAGAAATAGCATGAGCTGTGGTGAGCTCTTCAACCGTGATTTAAAACAATGTTTTACATGGCACTAAAGAAATGGAAGGAAATGTAATAGTTATAGTGCAAATTATTCTGAATTCATATAAATCGTCTTAATATTATTAATATGAAAGATACATAATTTAAAAATTTACAAGTTTAAAGAAAATTGAATAGATGTAATATATCTATGCAAAATGTGGTTAGTTTTGGTTGCATGATAAAAAAAATTATAAACATTATCTACGACTTTCGGGACAACCTTTGTAGCTCCAAAAAACGGGCTGCTAGAATTATACTTGATGCTGCCCCTGATGATCAATCTAAGGTTTTATTTAAAAATGTATGGCTTTCTTTTTTTATTTAGTAAATTTTCATAAATGTCTTCTGTTGTACAAAATAGATAACAATCAGAATCCGGTTTACAAGATTTATTTATTTGTAAATGAAGGATATGATATATTATTGATATGATTAAATTATTTTCAATCAGTGACTTTCATTAAACTATATCGATTTATTAAGATCTTAACATTATCAATGAATTAAATACAAAGTGTACAAATAATCTATACTCACAATAAACAAAACCATAAACAAAAAAAAAATAAACGTGGCACCCAATGTTAGGGTGAAAATTATGATCGGGAAACTACTATGGTCCACAAGGTAAGGGCATCTTTAACTTTGCCAAATCAGTTATTTATTTGCTTTTCAAAAGAAACAATATTCACGAGGAGTTCCTGGCCTAAAGGTCCGTGAAACAAACTCAATGATTATATACAATGGAAACTATAGACACCCTGCTCCCATCTCAAATTAAGCCTGGCGTTTAGTATCTACATGTACTATGTGTTTAGTATATGGATGTGGTTGATGAGAAGGGCCAATAAACAAACTTAAGAAAATACATCTACGGCATTCAAAACTGGATTAATGGAATTAAGAATTCCTTCTTACGTTTACACAGGGAAAAGTGGCTCGCACGATTTTCATGCGAATGCTTTTTCGCATGAATTTCGTACGAAAATCATATAAAAACCATGCAAAAAGTTCCACATGCGAATTTCATGCGAATGTCCTCATACAATATTTATGCGAAATTCATGCGATTTTCATGTGACTGAAATTTCGCATGATATTCATGCGAATTCCAAATTATCAGTTTTTCATGTAAAAATCATGCAAAATTCGCATAAATATAATGCGATATTCATATACAAGAGAAAATAAGCAATGAACAAAGAAATTGGACAATTCAATATTTATTTAGGTTTTTCTGCCACATTGAGTGATAAAAAATGCCAGTCTCTGATATCATATTGCTTGGATGTTCCTAAGTAATCCATTGACTTTAATGATATTTGTTTACAGGCAGTTTTTCAGTCTTGTGTCATGAGAAGCGTTTCCTACAAAGAAATTTTAAATATCATAAAATGCTATTACCCATACTAATATTCCGATTGTTTAGGTCAAAGGGACCAATTCCTAAATTAGGATGACATTAAATACAATAAATTCTATTATAATTTATATCACTTGAAAAGTCCATGTTTTGGCAACTTGTATTACTGAGTATGCTAAATGGTACTATATGTTTAGAGCGAAACAAAAGACCATGTGTTAAGCACATTCATAACTGCATAATAGACTTTATCCTGCAACTACCCCTTGCATTGACCTGATAAAGGTAACATAATTAACCAAAGCTTTATCCGGTCACTGCCCTATTAAAGCCTTATGTATGTATTCCGACGTTTAAAAGCATTGTGAGGTCATGTATACTACAATATTTACGCCATGGCGTCATAGTTTCCACTGCAGAGATGTACCTAAATCTGTCGAAAATGGCTTGTTTTGAACGTTCAAATGCAGAATAATTTTGTTGCAGGATAATTAAACAAAATACATGATAACTGTCTTGAAATGTAAGCGATATTTGGGCTCGGGTCGAAAACGTAAGCCTCGCCCTCTATCACGTTTCCTTAGGCCAAAATAAAATTATTATAGTTTGTTTGGAATTGCCTCCGCCTCATTGAAATGCCCCCCTCCTGAAAAAATTTTATTGACCAAAGTAGGAAGTTTTTTTTTTTTATTTAATCAATTTTTTTGCCCATTACATGCATCACATACACAATACAAAACACTGAAATATAGTGTCAGATCTATGCAAATTGGGTTCCTTCGTTTCTTTTTTTTAAGTCAGAAGATGTACCGAGGTATTTATACTGTTTTCTGAGATTTTTAAAACAATTTAAAATTAATCCTAATTTAAAAAAAAAAGTCCCTCCTCCCCCTGTGTCTGAAACCCTTCAGGCGGCAATTCCAAACAAACAATTTTTTAAGGATGGCCTTACCCTCGCCCAAATATCGCTTATATTTCAAGACAGTAACCATGTATTTTATATTCAACACATACAGTGTCTTATTGACCTACTCTATATATCCTGATAGCAGGCTGCTATTGAACCAAATGAGATAAAATGTTTCATTTTAATTGTGATATTCCTATTGGTTGACAATAAACATGTCATTGATGAATTTTTAATAAATTACTTACAACAGTACAATACTGAAAAGATTGTTTTTTTAATCTCAGACTGGATAGAATAATTAGAATAGTACCTCAACTGTGAATAAATCAAATACAACAGTTACATTTTTTTTGCATGGACCTCAAATTAATCCCCTAGAAGATGGAACCTTTTGTTGGACCTATCATCCTATGTCTAAATTATTTTGTAGGATACACTTGGTCTATTGAAGCTGTGGTTACAAGTCTCTACATATGTGTCAGAACAAAACACACAGTCTGACTCCGTGTATTTTGTTGTGACACATGTGTAGAGACTTGTAATGACAGTTAGTTAAAATAAAAGTAACTTTTAATTACTTACCCAAAATTTAGTAAACCTTCAAATAAATGTCACTAAGCATTAAAAGACCATTCGATTTACCTGGCTGCGTTACGCAGAACCTGAAATGAGAACGAAATCCGAATTTACTCTGAAAGATTTCGTTGCAAGTTGATTTATCAATAAAAATGTGCATTATAAACACAAAATATGACAAACAATAAATAAAGCATAAATATTTACCATTGTTTTAAGGAATTAGATCACAATCAGCCAAAAGGAAAGTCTGGAACAAACCATAGAAAGGAGCTCTCGCTGACTCGGTTTTTTTTTTCTGTAACAGGAAGTGCAAATGGAACCTGGCTATTCAGTTTCGTATTCATCCAAGAATCGGGAAATACGTTAATTTTTATAATTTTCGTCGTTCAAATCTTTATCTTGAAAATGTATCTCCGCTTCAAAGACGAACGCTGATATAAGTGATATATATAAATTTACTTTATGGAACCAAAGATAGTTTTTTTATGGAAGGCCATACGTCACAAATTACGTCATCATGCGGATTAGAAACAGACTGTTTTCAACTGCTTATATTTTCTGTAAGTTTGTAAGATTTTCAACTTCTTTTTATACCAGATATATGTAATAACTTTATTTGGGATATTTTTTGACAGATTAATAATAAGAGATTCAAGTAAATCTAACATTATATCTATGGCATGTGTTGAAACTGAAAGATGGGCCTGGTACAGGCACAGGGGCTTGTGTAGAGAAAATAAATCAGTTAAAAAAATTAGTACGTGTTTTTTTTTCTCCTAGGTACTAATTTTTTAAACTGATTTATTTTCTCTACACAAGCCCCTGTGGTACAGGTTCTCTGCTTAAGTTAAAAGTCTTTTCTTACAATAATACCGTTGGGGCGAGCGCAGTTGTACCATCAAAAACACTTGAGATCAGCCACTTCGAACGTCAAGCCGCACGAGATATCTCGACTAGCTGTGACGTCATACGACGTCACAAGGCTCGTCGGAGCTTACGGAGACAGCCGAGCGTCTGTTTGAAACTATAGAACTAGTGCAATTTTTGTCGAAAAACATTGCAGAGTTATTTCTTGTTTCTTTGAAAGACTTCTACAAACTGAAAGTCTGATATATGCTTTACGTTATTATTTATTTATTTCGCGCAAAGGACATTGGGTAGTGCAGGAATTCTGGGAATGTTGCACAGAGAAATTTGGCTGACGTATGTACAGATTTCAATCCGAATTTCCTCTGTTCTTACACGTTAGTCTATTGAGCTCGCTTTGCGAGCGTCGCTTCGCGACGCTCGCTGCGCTCGCTATTATAGATAGTTAGAATAATTAACGTGTCTCGGTACAGGCCCTCACCACAATTAGAATACGTCCCATATACTTGCAATGTAGCAAATCGGAGCGGATCCGCTCCGAAACGATTTTGAAGAATATAAAGTGATTTGCACTGGGAATAACTACCAAAATAATCAAAACAAACGTTCTTGAGATTGCTTATGCCTTTTACCCAAAAAATAATCCATATATATACGAAAATCCAATTAATTTTCTCCACGTTTTTCTCTCGATTCAAATTACTACATTCGGAACTCTCTAGATGTTCCTGTTAAATGCACTATGCGAGTTATCGCCCGTGTTTCTTTCTGCTACATTACGAATACACGGAACGAATTTATCGTTAAACCGGGTCCGTAGGACAATATCATTTTAACGATAGAACATTCTATCTATATTATAGAAAAAGCCTAGTGAACTAGGGTAGGCCTAATGTTTTGGTTTGTTTTTAGCTCTACTGGTCAGAGACCAGAAGACCTTATGCGATAGTAATGCGTCCGGCGTCCTTCTGCTGTCTGTCTGTCTGTCCGTCTGTCTGTAAACAATTTTTCAAAACACTACTCCTCCTACAATTTTTGTCTGATTTCAATATTACTTGGCACACAAGTAGACTACACTAAGATACAAAGAATAATTTATCAGTTTTTAATTTCAATGAACGGTGTTGCCACGGTTACAAAAAATAGAATTTTCTGTGAAATTCCTTTGAAACGCTACTCCTTCTACAGTTTTGGTCTGATTTCAATATAACTTGACACACAAGTAGATTACACTAAGATACATAGAATAGTGCACACAAGTAGACTGCACTAAGATACATAGAATAGTGCATCGGTTTATGATTTCGGTGAACGGTGTTGCCATGGTTACTAAAAATAGAATTTTCAGTGAAATTCCTTTAAAAACGCTACTCCTTCTACAGTTTTGGTCTGATTTCAATATAACTTGGCACACAAGTAGACTAAACTAAAATACATAGAATAGTGCATCGGTTTATGATTTCGTTGAACAGTGTTGCCATGGTTACTAAAAATAGAATTCTCTGTTAAATTCCTTTAAAAACGCTACTCCTTCTACAGTTTTGGTCTGATTTCAATATAACTTGGACACAAGTAGACTGCACTAAGATACATAGAATAGTGCACTGTGCATCGGTTTATGATTTCGTTGAACGGTGTTGCCATGGTTACTAAAAATAGAATTTTCAGTGAAATTCCTTTAAAAACGCTACTCCTTCTACAGTTTTGGTCTGATTTCAATATAACTTGGCACACAAGTAGACTACACTAAGATACATAGAATAGTGCATGGGTTTTTGATTTCGATGAATGGTGTTGCCAGCTAAAAATAGTATTTTCATTGAAATTCCTTTAAAAACGCTACTCCTTCTACAGTTTTAGTTTGATTTCAAAATAAGTTGGCACACAAGTAGACTACACAAAGATACATATAATAGCTCAATGGTTTTTGATAAGTACAAACCAGTAGAGCTACAGTCTCGACAGAGACTTCTGGTTGATCCTTTTACACCTAAATCTGGTATATAAACTGCAGCAAGCAAATAACACACATAGTGGCGAACCAGTCACTAAGGGCTTGTCCCAAGACACAGATTAATCAAAGGGGGGTTTCAACCCTCCCTTTGGCTTTGCAAAAAAAAAAAAGGAAAAGTAAAGTAGAAATTAAGTTCAAAATTTTTGTTTGTTTTTTTAGGTCCCTTAGAAAATTTTGAGTGAAAAGTAAAGTTGTAATGTATAAAGAAATGTGGTCCTCAATACAAAATGCCCCCCCCCCCTTTTAACAAAATAGGATTCTCAGTTCTTAGATATATTTTTTTTTTAAGGAATGACTCTAAATTCTTGGCCAAATTATTGAGTATAATAGGGTTTTAGTTTACGCTTTATAACCCGCAAACGGATTATAAACAAGCGTAAACTCCCCCAAACCCTATTATCTCGCTAATTTGGTAAAGAATTAGAGTAGTTCCTTATAATTTAATCTTAAAATGATTAAACAACTGTGGATTTGAAATTCCGTTGTTTTTATGATTTCAAATTTACCCGCAATAATACACCCGTAGTAACGGAAGTGATGGGAAGCGAGGGGAGGTAAAAACTATACTAGATCTAGGCTCTAGCAGCCATGATGCTTGTTTACATGGGGTAAGATCGAGCAGCTTTTTGAAGTTAAAGGTACATTCATTAAATCTGGAATTTCCATGAATCCCAAGGACTGGAAATGGGGATTGATATAAGATGATTCAGCTGGTTGTCAAGGGGGTGTGCCCCCATACCAAACCAGATTATACAAAACGTTATGCTTCCCTTTTTTGGAAATCAACCAATAAGAGGCAAGAATACAAACAAAATTAAATTATTTCTTTTTAAAAACTTTTCTGGTAAATTATCCATACAAATACTTTTTCCCAGGTTTATGAACCTCCTACTTTAAAAGCCATGCTCCACCCGGTATCCTATTGAGTAATTAACTACTTGTACATGTAAAATAATTTTTTTCTTCTTCAAACCCCGTGGTCGTTCGCTCGATCTATTTTCCCAGGAGTCCGTTCGCACAGAGTTCGTTCATCCGAAATATTTTTCTACATATTAATCAATTACGGCGAACAGACCCTGTGCGAACAAATTTTAGGGTGAGCGGACTCTGGGTGAATGAGAAATTGGGCGAACAGGAAATCGGGCGAACAATTTTTAGGGCGAAAGAACATGGAACCTAGACACCCCCCTCCCCCTTTGAAAATTCTTTCAACCCTTCAACAACAAAAAAAATACCCCACTATCCTGTCCACATGAACCTGTGTGAATTCCAAAATATATGCAGATATAAAGGGACTAATATTTAATTACATCTAGAATGCAAGACTGAAATTCCAAAAAATGAGTTGTACTGTACATATTTAAAAATAGATATATATTAGTTTCAAAAATATTAATTTTTATTAAATGTTGTATTCTATACTTGCAGGTACATTGTATTTGCGTGGCACTCCATTATACCACACTGATGGCTTCTCCAAGATTATAGATATGATACATGTAAACAGGTAAAAAAAAATCTAAGAGAGAAATTTAATATTTGTTGCGGAGCCTGAGGTGTGTAAACCATCTTTTATTCGCGACAACTTTATTTCACGATTTACCGGGAAAAATTTTTGGGACCTCTAATTGTCTCGATAATTAAAGCCTTTATGCATCTGTTTTTCATAGACAAATATATTTTTAGGACCGGTTCGTGGGGAGAAATATTCGCGATGATAAGGCTCTTGCGAAGTTCGCTAAAGTTTCTCGCACGCGAATAATAGTTGGTTTACAGTATTCATTGTTTTATAAAAAGGATATTGTTATTACATGTATGCATGTAGCAAAACCTTAACCATTCAGCTTATTTTTGCTTATCTTGCATTTCTTTAATGTAAATATAATCTTCGTTAATTTATAGAATACATATTTTAAATAAAATGACAAAGGGATAATGAACTCATTGTTATTGATCCTACATTATCTGACATTTTTGAGTTTCTCTGTAGGCACAGTTACTTGTCATCACAAGGATAAGAATTCAAATACCAAAGTAGTCCTAACTCCTAAATCATCCCGATTTGTCAAAAGTACATGTAAGTATTTTATCATTTTTTTATCCCCCAATTTTTCTAGACGCATATTTTTTTTGTCCTGTTTGTATGTTTGTTGTTTTTTTTTTTGTTGTTGTCAACTTTAACCTTCGCCATAATTTTTGAACCGTGAGAGGTAGAACTTCATATTTGGTATGCATACTTCAATAATTAAGCACTTTCAACTGACACTAAGGGCAATGACTTTGTGCCTTTGACTATGACCTATATGCTAAAAATAGTTTTTTTCGAATTTTCGCCTTAACTTTTGAACCGTGAGAGATACAGACTTCATATTTGGTATGCATACTCCACTAATTAAGCACTTTCAACTAACAATAAGGACAATGATTGTGTGAAATTACCGAGACATATTTGCTAAAAATTGCTTTTTAGAACTTTTTTCCGTGGGCCATGTGTTTCACAAAACACTTTTTGGGACACTTTTTTAGCTCCCTGAGCCAAAGGCTCAAGTAATTAGTTTCTCTGATCAGAAGTTTCTGTTGGTGTAGTTTTCGTAGGCGTGTCGTAAATTTTCACATTTTCATCTTCTTCTCAAGAATCACTAGACCATTTTCCTTGTGTATCCTTGGGTAAAGGGGATTCAAGTTTGTTAAAATGAAGGGCCACGCCCTCTTTCAAGTGGACATAAGTATGAATTAATGAAAAAATTTAAAGGCATTTTAAAAAAATCTTCTCAAGAACCACTGGGCCAGGAAAGATGAAACTCATGTGGAATACCTCAGGTTTATAGATTCAAGTTTGTTCAAATCATGACCCCTGGGACTAGGGGGGGGCCAAAATGGCCAACCCAAGTTTTAAAATTGGGATATATAGGGATACCTTTTAAAATCTTCCTTTCAAGTACCTCAGAGCCATGATTAGTGATATTTATATGGAATCATCCTCAGGTAGTGTAGATTCTAGTTTGTTCAAACATGAACCCCTTGGTTGGGTGGGGAACATTCAAGCCCCCCCCCCCCTCATAAACTTTAGTTCTGATTTGATATGTTTTTTCCTCGCCGATGTTCTCAGGTGAGGGTGTGGCCCCTGGGCCTCTTGTTTTATCCTATGTTTTGTTGTTTATGCTTTAATAAATGCCTATATGCCAGTTTAAAGCAAGGACTGAAGTTTCTGAAATACAAGGCAAACTCAAAGGTCAATGTCAAAAGGTCAAAATTTTTAGCATTTGAAGGGGTTTTTTCATATGGAATAAACCTGTGAAATGTGAGACATTTAGTATTAACTGTTAAAATGTTATGGCTTAGATTATAGATTTTAAAAGTGGGTCAAACTCTTAGGTCAAGACCAAATGGTAAAAAAAACTCATTGAAGGGTCTTGTCACAATGATTACAAATTAATGTGAAGTATCAGATTGATAGCACTAGATGTTCAAAATTATAGCTTTGGTTAAAGTTTAGGGATTTTTTTTTTTAAAAGTGGCTCAAACCTGAAATCAAGGTCAAGAGGTCAAATTTTATAGTACCCTCTAAAAAAGTTCTTGTCACAAGAAATACACCTGTGGAATATGAAGCCATATATATTAAGTTCCACCCACTCATAAGTAATGGGTAAGGTTAAAGTTTTAGCAGACAAATACCGGAAGACAAAAAGATGGACATCAGTGCAAAAACAATATAAACCCAAAAATCTTTTAAAACGGAGGAAAATTAGTGCATAAATTATTTTTTATGACCGTTTAAATAATTACAAAGATTCAAACTTATTAATATTGCTTTAAAAAGTTGATCTTGTTATTTAATTTCATAATAAGAAAAATAAATGAGATATAAATTAAATTCATACCAGTCTTAAAAATATTTTAAGATTTATCTTTGTTCTTTGCTTTACAGAGAGCTGTAGCTGATGGACACAAATTGTTAAAAAAATCCAGTTACCATCTAATCACAGCCATAGATTTCTGGCATGCCTTCAGAAGGAACATAGATGCAATGGTAGGTAAATTTTCTTTTATTCCCTTGCAACAGATACAAATTGCATCATAGATCTGGGTCAATGAAACAGAGAAATATTTCTCAAGGTTTGTTTGAAACCTGACACAAAATTGTTTTTAAGTTTAAAGTCATTTGCAGGAAAATTGTTTTCATTTTTTGTAATAATTTTATCTTAAGAAACATTATATACTTTTTAAATTTTAATTTATGATGTATGATTTTGAATTCATTATAATTTATGATGTTTGATTCTGAATTTTTTTAAGATCGTTTAAGTGTAGGCAATATATGTTAACCTATAAATACTAAATTGAACTGGGGTGATTGGTTTTCTATATACATGTATACATTTGTTCATATTTTGAATATGCTATGGAAATATTGACTTTGAAAATGCAGTTGTAAAATTCATAACTGTATTTTTTCCGGTACCAAGTTAAGTGACGTTACAATTATTTTTTCTTGCAGATGAAACATTTTCCCCAAAAATGGGGGGCCCTTAACAGAGAATTGTCAAAAATTAAGCATTCAATAAAGAAGATTAAGAAACAGTATGTGTCCAGTTGTTTGTTCATCAAAAGAAAAACTTGGATAATATAGTGGTACTTCCTCAAAATCTGCATGTGTTCAAATTAAGCAGTTTCAAATTAAGATATAGATAAAGCTCATTCATTCATTTGCTGGATCGATTTTGAGATTGTATTTTTGGCATTTTTTTTTTGAATATCAGTAACAGTGAAGTTCCTTGATGATAAGTTGTACTAATTCATATACAGATCTAAGTTTTGAATTTCCTTATACTTTTTATCAAATGGATTAAAAAAATTGAAAGTCCAAATACGGAAAAAAATACTGTTACATCACATGGATTTGATATGAATATCACATGAAATTCGCACGAAATTAATGAAGATTGTAAAGAAAGTAGCAAAAAAATTCATATGAATTTCGTGTGAATTTTTATTCGCATGATATTCGTGCGAATTTCATGTCAAAATCGCATGATATTTTCATGGAAATTATCATGGTCCTTTTTGTCTCCTTTTCATGCGAAGAATTCGCATGATATTGTGCAATTTTATATGAAGTTCATGCGAGCCACTTTCCCGTGTACACTTAAATTAAATGATATTGATAAATTGTTATAATGGATCAGCTGAAACCTTTTTTTCGAAAAAAGGCATCTTAATTTAAACCTTATGAACATAAATCTTTTCTCACCACGTAGCTTTTCAGAAACCGTCTTAATATTCATAAATATATTCATTCATAAATTTTATACCTCTGATAAGAATATGTACGCTTTTTTGTTGTTGATATTTTACCTGAAGGAATTTGAAGGGAAATATTTTAAAACTGGCTCTAAAATATTTTTATCTAAAACCCGGTAACATTTCCCCCCTCAGCATGGGGTTAATTCCGTTGGAAGACCCGTTGCCTTTTATCATTTTGACCTCTTTTATTTTTTTTAGAGATTCAAAGATAGTTGTGTATTTAATGGCCTCAGATTTTGATGTATGTGATGTAAATACTCAGCTATGTTAAAGAAGGTCAGAGTTCGCATTCCTTGTACACCGTTTGGAAATTTTATTCATTGAAATTTAACAAAAGCTACAAAAAATAATTAACGACTTGGTCATGCGTAAATAACAACTTGTATATAATTATGTTATCGATTATTTATAAAATCGTGTAAAATTGCAATACTTAAAAGCAATACAGTGAGTAATAAAAAGAGTCTTTTTGTCAAATATGACGTCATCAGCCTTGACATGACGCACGCACACGATGGGCCAGAGGACTTGATTCACTGGTTAAATTATTTCGAGCTAAATAAATATGTTTCCGTTGCTAATTTTAGAATATAATCATTAAAATTAAAAGAAAATAAATCATTAAATACAATGTGTAAAGAGTATGAATTAATCTAGTAGCATTGAAGCTGCACGGGATGGGAATGTAGAGAGTATGCTAA